CTCGGTTTTAAGAGTGCGTTCGATTCAGTCGATCGATCGATTTGGTTCGAGATATTTACGCGGAGAGGTGTTCCCTCGGATTATGTGAACATCCTTCGTGCTCCATACTCGAACACTGCAGGCCGCGTCAGGGTCTACGGTGGCCAATCTTATAGCTTTCCGACTACAAGTGGCGTTCGTAAGGGTTGTACGATTTCCCCATTTTTGTTCAGTTTCGTCGTGGATTCTATCATAGAGTGTTCCCTTGCGGAATCTCACGATGTAGGCGTTGAAGTGCTGCCTGGTGTAAGGTTAGTTGATCTAGATTATGCGGACTATATCGTCTTGCTTTTCGACAATATTGGGGCGGCACAGTCAACCCTGAATAGCCTGTTCAGAGTGGTCTCATTATTTGGCATTCACTTCGCACCTTTAAAGTGCAAAGTGTTGCTGCAGGACCTCCAGCCACTTGATGATCCCTTGCCGCTTGTTAACGAGGAACTAGAGGTGGTTGATCATTTCACTTATCTTGGCAGCTGCATCAGCAATGATGGGCGCATAGAAACTGACGTCAGCTCACGCATTGCAAAGGCCAGAGCCGCCTTATTGAATCTGCGGCATCTTTGGCGACAGAAGGGAATTTCCTTCCGTCTGCAAGACCGTGTCTACAGGGCCACAGTGAGGGCCGTTCTGCTCTATGGTAGTGAGACTTGACCTCTTCGGTCTAAAGGTCTGAGGCGTCTTCAATTTTTTGATCATCGTTGTCTACGAAGCATTGATGGTGTCGGATGGCATCAGCGTGTCCGCAACGATGGTGTGCGTGGGCGAGTACTAGGTAGTGATCATCATGCTAGCTCCCTAGAACAACAGCTAGCACTGAATAAGTTGCGTTGGCTCGGGCACGTGCTACGTATGCCTGGTCACCGCTTACCTAGGAGGGCCTTGTTTAGTCTGCCAGGTGTAGGATGGCGCAAGGCTCCAGGTGGACAGAAGTTGACTCGGCTTCGGGAAATGAAGTCACTGACGATCAAACTGGACACCGTCGGTCCGTGTCGCTTTACGGGTTGGCGTCCACGTGACTCGCCTTGTGCTTGGCTGGAGACTTTACAGGACATTGCTCGCGGGGTAATGGCTGACTATGACGCGGGACAGTGAAAGCCAGAAGGAAGCTGTCTCCCCGATGCCGCCTTATGTTTGCACAATAGCCAGCTGTTTGTGACGGTATGTTTTCTACACAAGGTGTATCCGCTTTGACCCAGAATGTTTGCTTAGGGCATTAAGGTTTTCAGGTAAGTCCCCTTTCTCTCCCTCTTATTCTTCTTTCTTTCCTAGGTCATCATGGTTGTATGGCAGCGAAGCATCAGCTCAAAGAGCTGATGTACTGCGGTTGTTGTTGATAATGATGTGTGGCGCTGTTGCGTGTGTTGTAGCACTTGCACCGTGTGGACAGTGGCTGTGCAATCCCCTCGTAGTCACACTTCTCATGTGACTTTGAAATGCAAGACGTTGTAATAAACCCGATCAGAGGTCCTTGAAGTGCTGGGTAGCTTAAACCCCTTTAAATCGGTAAGCTATGGCAATGTTCATCCAACGATTGTTAAACCGCTCGCTGCTATTCTTCACTATCCTGTTTTGGATCTATTCAACTCTTCGGGAAGGTAGGCTACCACATGACTCGAAAAAGATGACTGTTGTGGCAATTCATAAGGTGGGCTCCAAGTCTGCGCCACATTTCTTCACTTTGCGAATCTGCTGACCGTGGATTGCTCTGCCTGCCGGTTTATTCTCAGCACCTACTGTGACGGATTTTAAGACCCACCTGGACTGTCATCTGGCCGAGCTGCACTGCGATATTCCCTGAGACAACTACCTTCTACTTGATGGAGTTTCTTCTTTTTTCTACCTAATTCCTTTCTATAACGGTTTCGAAGGGCGCGGTGGGATGTCACGCTTTGAGCCGGTTTGCATTCTGTTCAAATGCCGCATAAGCCTGATGAAAATACGGCTAACACGCGAGTCCAACTCGCTATAAGGTTGCTTGACCTTGCATCGGACCCGACCCTAACTTTTTTTACCCTGTGGGTCATGTAAAGCTCATGCTTTTATTCCGATTAAACACAATGTTCCAATCGTCCCCTTAGTCTGACAAGTATTCTGCTTAAGTGCCTGGATAAGCTCATTAGGCACCGAATTTATGAGCACTTAGTTATTAACAACTTGCTTGGGGCGGGACAGCATATATTCATTAGAAAGAAGTCATGTCTTACGAGTCTACTGTTTCTTGAACGAGATAACTCGGTGCCTTGATATTGGGATTCCAGTGGAGGTCTGCTATCTAGACTTCAGTAAAACATTTCACTCGGTTAATCATCACTTTTTATTAGTGAAGCTGACTACGTTTATGCTGCATCCCCAGCTGCTGACTTGTTTGTCGGATTTCCTCTGTGGCAGAAAGTTAAGTGTCAGAATTAATGAGGCTAGAAGCACTTCCCATAGCGAAGTCCCCCAAGATTCAGGGCTAGGCCCGTTGTTTTTCTTGTTTATAAATGATCTAGCTCCACTCCTCGAGAACCCCTGGTATGTTTTTGCAAACGACGTAAAGCTTGTCAGCAGGGGAGATAGGGTTACATTGTCTAAAGACCTGGGCACTGTAGCAAAGTGGTCTGAATCATGGGATCGCCGTTGAATGCGAACAAATGTCATCCAGTAACGTTGGGATTACGATGCAGATATCCACAGGGTCTCTGACATTACAGTGTGTAGATAAGGCGAGGGACTTGGGCACCTGGAGATAACCCGTTTGACAGTGTAAATTCTTCAAAAATATTCTAAAATTGTAACTATTATGTATTAGGAAATTAAGCTGTTTTGTTTGTATTTCTCTCCTGTTTGTTTGAGTCACACACAAGACACTCGCATCCGCTCTGCGACCAAAACGGTCACGACCTGCGACTCGCCCGTCCTCACATTCAGCACCCGTTTACATCTTTGGCTAGCTCTTCTCTGGGGCTTTATTTTCAGCTTTCTCTACTTTAGCGACCGTTCAACAAACCGTTTGTAGCTTATTTTCGTGTATTACCCGGTTCACTCTTGGTTGGCCGTTTAGCCGTGGATCTGTTACATAGTGCACGACCGACGCGTTATATAGCGCATTTGGCAACACCGCGAATATGAATGTGTTTGTTACTAATTTTTCTTTTCAGATTCGGTAACATATTCCGCCTACCCTTCTACTTTTTCTTTTCATTATTGGATTCCAACACGCTAGCTCAGTGTTTTTCACTATGAAAGTTATTCATCCACACTCTACGACCACGTTATCGCAGTCAACCCGCCCATCTCACCCTTTCGCTAAAATATCCCCAAGTCCTGGTTCGTCCAACTGGAATCCCAGTTTTCTTAAGTGCTGTCAAGTCCGGATAGCTAAACTTTCATTACGTTGTAACGGCACTTCCTCCATCGGTTGTCGATTACGTTGACGACATCTTGGAGCTGCCAGAGTAACAGAAAACTTACGAACTAGCTTGTCCGACCGACAACGAGTTGTGAAATTCCCAAACGAAACCCAGCTAGGCAGTATTAAACCGTCTCGGTTGTTGCAGAAGATGCAGAGGTTAGCGAAACCCTTGATGGTAGGCTACACTTTTCTCCAGGAAATATGGTTTCAGCGGTGTACAAAATAATAATCGGTGACGAAGTTGCATGCATCCTCCTCAGTTGCAGCTGAATGTAAAGGAACTGTATTAAATGAATAAAAATGCTAAAATAAGCAATAGTAATGAACGCGCATATCATGAAAGCAATCACATGCTAATCAAATCGGGTCATTGGATCATTGGATTGTAGAGAGCCGAATGGAACTCCTTTGTCAATTCCTTCACTTCCCGATCATTGCGTGGAATCCGCTTATTGTTGCGAAGCGGTATTCCACATGGGGCCGTGACAGCTATTTTGGAAGCAGCAAGACCCCAGCTTACTCTTCAAGCGAGAATGCAAAAGTCGCTGTAAACATTCTCAGCCTGTGCGTCGACCACAGTCTTCGGCAAATCGTTGCAGTCATTTACAACACAGGTTAATAGAGAGTGAGAACGGAACGAACTCAGCCTTATTGTTTTAAACAGTTTTCAGTTGTGACCTCGAGTTTGACTTTTAACGTTGACTTGAAAGAACACTTGCAGCTCCTATTTCCCCTCTCACTATGCGCCTACTAAAAATTAGGTCACCGCGACCTCGACAATATTCCAGGGAGAACAGGTTCATCCGCTCAAGTTGTAGAGGATAAGGTAAGTCCCGTAACTTTAAGATGGATTTCGAACCACGCCACTAGGCCTTCTTGATCATTCTACATCCTACTTTGGTAACAGGACAGATAGCGGGTAATCTGTGTTCAAGGCTCGGGCGCACATGGGAAGTTATGATTATTCTGAAGATCTCCGGAGTCAGTCGCGAGTAAGCACTCGGTATGGTATGGGACATCCTGTTGGCAGCGGCAACCCTCGGTAGTTTCCTCTGTGGTCCGTGAATCATGGAAGACAAGCACACCGAGATCCTTCTCAGGAATAGTGGTTCTGATTAACACCCCACCAATATGGCACGTCCAGAATGGTTCAAGGAGCAACTACGGGGAGAACTGCGCATTTTTCGCGATTTATGAGCGATCGTCACTTGACTGACCACTCATGTAGCAATGTCCATCACGTCTGCGATCTGTCAGCGTCCTCGGGACGGGATGCCTCCAACTCGAAAACATCTTAGACTATAATCTAAAACGCCATTTTTATATTCCTCGTATCTTTATCTTATCATTTCGCTTACGGTGTTGTTAGAACAACCATCTGTGTCTCGCTTTTACGCCTTCCGTCCATCCACCTTACACTCGGTCCTCCATCGGCAGCTTTGACAACGGCATCTAGCTCACCACAGGGTGTATGCCAGGTGCACCCTCCACCCAGCTCCGGCTCTTACTGGGTGGTTGTGATTATTCTTTCCAGCCTTCTACGAAGTATCCTTTTTGCATTTCAGCTTCTTGATCTGTTACGACATGGAGTCCCCCGAAATCCTCGACCAAACGCAGACTACACATATGTATCCGATTTCTGTTGCGCATCCTACCTGCGGTCATTGGGCAGGACGCCACGTTGGAGCGGATTCTTTCATGCAAAGGAATCCCAACTGGGATGGAAGAGACACAGTCATTGCCATTTGGGATACAGGCGTAGACCCCAGAGCCGATGGTCTTCAGGTAAACTTCAGAGTCTTTTACTACAATCCATCTATGCATTAATGCGCGGTCATGGTGTGAATTCACCACGACGTTTCCGCGCAGTATGTTCCATGACACTCGTTGCTTGTGAACAATTTGCATTCTTTCACATTTCTTTATGTTTTTGGTGCGGTTTCTGTCACATTCCCGAGACGCTTGTCTCTGGTCCCATTCGATTTCTGAGTATCTTCATACTTAAATTTTTTTGTACTATCCCTCAACAGATTCTATTCTTCTTTCCAGGCTTTCCTTATTCTTGCTTAGTTCAGGTAACTAGCACAATAGGGTCTGCTACTGTAGGAAACATGGTCAGTAATTGGTTGATCACGGTGTGATGCGGGTGCTTCGTTTTAGATCTATCAAGATTTCGGAGCACCTTATTGACTCTGTGCAACGATCTATTCAAGAAGGAACACTCACGGGATTATCATATCGTTACAGGGCCCATGTAAATATTTGGGTAATGTTTAGACGAGCTCACCTTCATTTCTGAATAGCCCACTGAAAATCTACGCTCGTTTGTGGCTTCACAATAGTTGAAATGTTCTCATTTCTGGTTAACGTTCAGAATACTCACTATGATTATCACATGTTTTCTTTACTATCTTAAGCTATTTACGGCCTTGTTCCACTCACATTCTCTCAAATAATGTCCTGTAGGCATTTCACATCGCGGTACCCATTGACACATGCGGTTCTCGCTGTGGATTCAATACAGCCTTTATTTTACTCGAAAGTGATGCACTAAGCTAAAACATATGACGAAGAGACCCCTTTCTGTGATTATCTTCCTGTCGTCGCTTTTTTCATGCACACGTCGTATCAGAGTTCATTATTCACTATGCAAATGTTTGCAGTGAATTACGGAAAAACATATTTGGTAACATTAGAGGTGATGAACTGAAGAGTCGCTTCTCACGGCATGTGCCACGTTTTTATCATCATTGGCATGTTCAAAATTCTGGTGCACTTTTCAACAGTACTGTGTACATAGACTCGTACCTTGATGCTTGTGTGAATTAAAACGTGCTCCTAGTCATTGTATTTTTAGCTTTTTCTTCGTTAAACATTCCCACCCATCACTTATGCATCCTTCTTTCCATGCCTGTGTTCCGTTAAACACATCTGCAATCTCTTTCCATAATAGTCCGTCTTCTCAATGTTCACTGTCACTGTTTCAGGTCACTTCCGATGGAAGACCTAAGATCGTGGATCTTATTGACGCTTCGGGTTCAGGCGATGTCAAAATGTACACCAAACGTATCGTTGATTCACGGACAATGGAGCTTGAGACACTCACCGGTCGTAAAGTTGTCGTATGTTTTACAGTTTGTCTCCCTATTGGTGTTTAGAACTGTTTGCCCACTGCAGTCTTTTATATGTCTTGTTATTGACTCCTGTAGCTAGTTCATTGGCTCATCCTAGGTCAATGGAATTACACCATAACTGCTATGATATCGTACCACTTGCGTACCGTTAGTCTGCTCACTTGAGCGCCGTTTTGTGTTTCATTTGCATAGCCAGTTTATCCGGCTTTAAGCTTTCTATCTTTTGAATCCAATGTTTCTGCAGACAAGCTATAACTAATTCTTGCTATTTGGAATGCTGGCTTTTTGTTATCTAATAATCCGACACCTCGCACTACTTAAGACAGTATCCGGCCCACGCAGTACAATACAATGACTTTATCTTCAAACATTTTCTTAATGTTCTGGCCATTGGGGAGGATAGTCAGCTGCGCCCTATCTGCTACATCGAGCATGGTAGATATGGTTGGGGATGCTACTTCTCAGACCTTCCTGTCTTCTTATCCGCCCTATCTCGCTTTTTCATTTTTATCTTCTGGTTCCAACTTCACTCTCATACCCTCGTTTTGAACCCACCAATTCCTGGCCGCCCCCACCTTACTTTGGTAGGCGTTTGTCCTCTAGTTTCCGCACACACGCAATCACAGAGCGTCGCTCCGGTCCAGTCGACAAGTCCATGTTCAAACAAGCGAACTACATCCGTTCATCCGTTTCTCTTTGGAGCCGTCGATACTCGCTAAGACTGGCACACATCAAGTTGCGCACTTTCTTACATATTGGCCATCAGGCAGCAATAACTCGAACACTTGGGACCCTATCTATCTAAATCTGCTGTTTATCAGAAACCCGCTTACAAGATTCAAGCTCTGCGCCATCCAACACATCGACACTGGCGGCACTTTCTCAATGCGTTTGTCTGATGACGCCGGCAGGTTTTCTGGCTCGTTCAAAGCCTCTAAGTCGCGTTGAGACAAACGGGGCCTATTTGTCATTACGACCTATGCACCCACAGGCTTTTGTGCTGACTCGGTGAGTAATGAATTCCTTTTGGATTGGCTACACAACGAGAGACCACGGTGGAAGCCGCTCAGTCGCCGCCGCATCTGGAGAACCCACATTCTCTAGGAACAGGAAGAATCCGGAGGTCACCGAAATCCCTTCAGACCAATCGTCGTCAGAATCGGTACGCTTTCTTTTCAAAGGGAGGTGTTGCGGGCCCGTCAAATATCCCCGCAAAAACGCGTCACAAACTCCGGCGTAATAGCTGTGTAAAGCGGAGTTCAATCCGCCCGCCAACGCAGCAGATTTCAGCCACTTCGGGACGCGGCACAACTGCGCATATGTTGACAATGTCCTTTTACAAATTACCACCCTATTGCGGTAGCTATTTTCACTAACTTAATGACCCTTATTATTGTCTGTTATTCGCCCTTTGTTGGTAGTAAAAGAGTCTTCAGAGGACCACTTGTCTTCTTTTCTCTTCGCCGTTGGTTGGGAGTCGGTTCGGTCGATAGCCAGGCAGCGTTCGCGTCTAAGCCATCGGTGCTCGTCTACCGTCACCCCCTCTTGTGTGCATAGCCTCGTCCGTTACGGGGGTTCAGCGTCTACCCGAATACGTGTGGCTAGGAACGTTCTCACGCTAGCGCGATTTCCGCCTCACCGACTAAGCTAACGCCATCACGTCAACGCAAATCCGTTCGATCGGCCAGCGTTCCAAACCGTTATCGTAGGCGTGCTCAAACCGTGCCAGTGACAGTCGTATCGGGCGTCTCACAATCTTAACAGTATGTCGTACGAGGACTGATGTGGGAGGCTAGCGCTGTCTACCCTGTCATAATGTCGGCTTCTAGTTGATCTCGTTATGACGCACCGAATACTGCACCTGGGCCACATCCCTATGTTCGCGCACCAAGCAGCACACGGGACACCGGTACAAACTAGTGGTACTGGATTTAAAGCGCATTGCACACCTGTACTTTGAACCTCGTGTGGGGAAATATGAGAACAAGTTGCCGGAGACGCTAGTCGAGGTGAAATCGGTATCGGAATTTAAGTGGTTTCTTGACGCTGACTTTGCGACAACGGCATAGGGAGCGTATCGCACCTGGATAAGATGTAGTGCAGCTGTAATATGCCGCCACCGCGCAGGAATCAGCGACGTGGTTGCGCGCATGTTTCCGATCCACCTACGTTGGAACAACACAGATCTTCTCAGTCTCTATTCTCAGTTTTCAGTATCAGCAGTAACAGTATCCGTAGTTCTGACCATTTTGTGAGAGTTGAGACCTTTGAAATCCATACTTAATGGCCCAAGTGCTCAGTCACTTGAACCCACATCGAAAATAGTAAACGCCTTTCCATCAGTCGCTTTGTATTAATTTCTTGAGCTCCGTAGTCGAATCTCTCAAAGGTGGCTTTTTATTCCGTTTATATTTGCTTGGAGTCCGTAACACGTTTATCGAATACTCTATATCATCCGCTTGGCATCACAGTTGGTGCCAAATCTGTCAGTTACACTGCCTGACCCTGACATTAGTAAACTGCCATCCTATATGTTCTGTTCTCGTAATCTTGCGGCGCAGGTTCGAATCCGCGTAGGGGTGGGCGTCTTCGCGGTATACTCAGCCCGCGTGCAACTGGTGGTGGTCGCACGGCAGCTAAGCACCGTTACGGCGTACAGCTGACACCTTATTATTATTATTATTATTATTATTATTATTATTATTATTATTATTATTATTATCTTGTGGACAAATAAGCATTCTGAAGTTGTTTTGTGAACGAATACAAGCTTTGAGATGCACTGTTTCTGAGCAACTCATGCGAATCAAATGACTATCAGTTCGATCTGCAGAACGTTGAAATACTTCGAAGAACAAGAAACCGCAGAGTGCGTGAGTTTTTCGAGGTCTGGCATTTTGGCCGAAACTCAATCAACAAACACCTGGAGCTGGAGGGTGTCTACGAAGCTCTGCAGATTAAGCCAACAATTGGCACCAGATCGACAAGGAGAAGACGTGATCACTCCACCGAATCACGTGAACTGATCGAAGGCTGACACTCGAAGCAGGTAACAACCAGTAGTCATTCGGATCTGGCATTGGTTTGCGAGACTCCGCGAATCAGGACTGAATAGCCGCACCGAAGATGTTGCCTAGTTTGGTAACGAAAAGTCTGCAACAGAAATGCCCGGCTCCGAGATCAGGACAATCCTCACAATTTCAAGGCTCTCCAGCGTGTGTGCAAGTCCGACTTGCCGTCCGATCTGCAGTAATGTGCGCACGTTGAGTGTTCCTACTTTGAACTGCATTCCAGGTCGCAGTAGCGAAGATGACAGACTTCGGGGCTGGCAGCCGTTTGTCGAGGACTGTATGGTTGTGTTGTCGAGTGACGAGAGAACTTCCTTGGCGGAGGTAGGATTGTTCACATTCGACGAATCAGGTAACATTGGGGACTAGTGATACAAGGAAAAAGTATGGAAGTTGGTGGCGTGTTTGTAAAGTTGGTGTACTATTAGGACAGTGGATCCTGAAAGCGAGGGAGAGCGTAGTTGTGTGTATCCGTGGTTCATCATTAGGCGAGATACTACTCGGTTTCCTAGGCCGAAGTAGCTTGGTTGTCTTAAAGGACCACTGCCCCGACTCTTTGGCCGAAGGCACTAATCTACAAGACAGCAGGGCGAGATAGGGGTTTCACAACCGTTGGGAGCCGGTGACTGAACGTTCAGTTCTTACGCTTTCGGATGACGAAAAGCCATACCAGAGGCCCAACATTCCCAAAGTCAAAGGCAGAATCCCGTGCTCGTATTGCTTGTCAGTATACAATGTCTCCGAGAACGCAAAGGGCAGTGACTTTACTTATTGGCGAGTCACGTCCGCTATGTCACAATGTTGTTAAACGTACATATGTGGCTTTTTACAGGGAAAACGCTTGCCAGGCGTAAATCCACCACGTCCTGGAACACTGCTGCCAAACCATTCGCCAGAACGGGAAATACCCGAGCCGCCCAGCTGACACCATGGGGTTGTTCGGCAAGTCTCTGCTCAACAACTTGAAAACGTACCCTCGTCCGTTATCCGATCGAGCGAGCGTGGAATATATTCACAGTAGACTCTTTTTTGTTCTCTCTCTTTTGACAACCAAACTGGGTGCCGTTGGTCCGTCTCGCCTTCCGGGTTGGAGTCCACGTGACTCGCCTTGTGCTTGGCTCGAGACTTTGCAGGACATGGCTCGCAACCGACACCAGTGGCGCGTCTGCTGCCGTCTCCTAGCCGGACTGCCTGTTTACAGTGTGTTTGGGGTGCTGAGTTATCTTCTTGGTATGGGCTGATTATGACGCGGGCAGTGAAAGCCGGAAGGAAGCTGTCTCGTTGATGCCGCCTTATCTTTGCACGATAGCCAGCTGTTTGTGACGGTATGTTTTCTACACAAGGTGTATCCGCCTTGACCCAGAATGTTTGCTTAGGGCATTAAGGTTTTCAGGTAAGTCCCCCTTTCTCTCCCTCTTCGTATTCGTTATTTCATAGGTCCTCATGGTTGTATGGCAGCGAAGCATCAGTTCAAATGGCTGATGTACTTCTGTTGATGATGATGATGATTTTTTGATGATTTCAGAAGGTTTTGTATACAAATCGGTTTTGGTAGGGTTTTATTGTGGCAACGTTTCGCCCTTGACACAAGAGCTTCTTCAGGCCAGGTGAATTGGTACAAAATTGGCGTAGCTTTTTATGGGAAGGTTGCAAGACAAAAATATGAACCATTGGATAATAGTGTTACAGTGATTTTTTGCTGTTCTGCCGTAAGAACCGACTACCAACTCGATTTAAGGATTGCTTTCATCTCAACAACATAATACTTTGATCAAAGCTTTCCTATGTGCACACTTATTGTTATTGTGTAATAGAAAAGAACTGGGTGAATGTCCGAAAACGTTCGTTAATACCCCGGGTATGGCATAATGGAAACTGACGAGTGTGTTGCTATCGCACCCGCACATGCCCCTTCGGTCCATCAACCGGATTCCCAGGCGCAGCACGCGAATAGTTAGATGCCACCGATGAGCCGCATCAGAAGTACTTGCTATCCGGCTTCATAAGTTCGCCATATGCTTTTAAAATTAATTTGCCCAGGTCCTCCATCTTCTCTATCTATCATCTTCATCATTTGGCGATGATGATCATGCCACACCCGAACGTTACTTAGGTTTTACATTTTCAAAATCTTGTTGATCTTCTAAATCGTTACACGGACTCATCGCCTTTGTCCATTTCGTATTAGTATCAGTTCTTTTTATCGTAAGGTTGTAATCTGTTGTCCAACCACAGAAATGAAGTTTAGTTCTGACTTCATAACTTGTCCACTTCAACAATTTTCTCTTTTGCGGACAATGTTTCACTTTCAGTCATGTATAACTCTTTTGTCTCGTTTCAACTCTATGCATGTAATATTTTTCTAGAGCAAACTTTTAAAATCACATTTTTGATGTCCCATCTGCGGATTAATTTTTCCCCATCGACGATCTTGATACTAGATTCCGGCGCATTGGAAGCCTGCGGATGGATGTATACGCCTCGGTGTCAAGCTGGCCTCGGAGTTGTTTCCGCGGCCCTTACTACAACGGTTGCGTACGGAGGAGAAAGATCATATTTGGAGGCCATGCATGAAAAACTTGGCGGCCAAGATTGCTTCCGAGCTCACAGAGGCTTATTCGTTCGTGTTAGATTCTCCTGGCTCGCATTCACGGGCTTCAAGTGAGTTGGCTCTGTGGAAAATACCATCCTACTTTTCTTTGGACTTTCAAATTTATCTACCATCTTCGTTTCATTGCGTTTGTTCTCACTGCCAAAGGTGTTGAACGCAATGAGGAAGAGAGCCGCGGTCCTAACAACAATGCGTCTGGCGCAACACATCACGAACCTCCCTACAGCGCACCTCTCGGATCTCCGTCGTGCCCCGTCTCAAAACGGAAGTCTTGCACAAATCAAGAAACTGCGGGATCGAAATCGAAGGTATATTAACTCTGAGTGATTAGTTCCATCCTACCCTTGTATCTTGCAGTACACGGTTCCCCTTTCGAGAAGTGCAGTCTCCGTTTACATTCATATGTTCAACCTTCCGATACTCATTTTTTAGCCTCTGGTTCAGTTACCCCTGATACCAATCGCCATTTACCGTTGCTAATAAAATTGGCATCAGCCTTTGTGTTTCGCTTTTGTAAGCTGACGAATATGAGTATACCAGCAAGTATTTCTTCACGCGCGTATTTATTGTTCAGTTTGGCTGAACCACTATGATTTCAGCTTCTAAGAGATTCATATTACCTTGCTAATGATGCTTAGGTTTGCTGAGATAATGGCAAAGTGATAAGGTCTCGACAAAAGGGATCACGCAGACACAGGTGCTACTGATGTGATCAGAAGGCTAACAGCTAGATGTGAGGGTGTGGATGCACGAAAGCCACAGTAGTCCCTGCGCCAGCATGTATGTTTGTGTCAACACTTAGTCTTTAGCATCATCATTATACACGTTGGCTGGAGGGGGGACACACCGCAGCTACTGTGCCGCCAATACCCATGCAAACTCACCGACACGAAGTTCAACCGTTGTGAGAAGCCCAGTTGCACCTGGCATAAGTTGTTTATCTTTGTTGTGTCCAACGGACACTGATGTCCCAGCAGGTGAAAGTCTGAGTGCTGAAGACCAGTGGAAAGAACAAAGAACGAAATTACGAAGGGATGTTGGGCGTTTAAGTTCTGTAATTCAACAGTTAGCAAAACCACGTGAGGCTGGTAGTATACTTCGCCCTGCAAGGTCAACCTCGTCCGATCAGAGGCGTTATAATCTCGTGATCTTTCACGCACCGGAGTCCAGTGATCCATCACTCCAAGTGCGCTACGGTCACGATGTCGAGTTTTTACAGGGTCTAATTGACAGACTCCTCGACACTGGTTGGAACTCGGTAAAAGTGAGGCAAATTACCCGTTTTGGAAAGCAATATGATCAACGAAATCGGCCTATGAGAGTCCCTTTTGTAGAGGAAGCCAGTCCAAGACTGATCATGTCCCGCCTAAGTAGGCTGAAAGGTTTGAAGATCCATGTTCGTCCAGACCTGAACCCAGTAGACAGGGAGCGGCTCAAGTCTGCCATCATTGAGCTGAAAAGACGCACTGGTGAGGGTGAAACAAATTTTCGTATTGTAAATTTTCGGGTGGTTTCCAAGAATCTGCGAATCATGATAAACAGGCTGCTCACACTTCAAGCACGTCTGGTGGCTCCTGCTGCGTCCTTCGAAAAGCCTTCACAAACGTTTGCAGCGTTATGAATAGGCGCGATGAGCTTTGTTGTTTCGTTGCGTCTGAGTGGGCAGACGTAATGGGACTCGCAGAGACATGGCTGTATGCAGAGTTATACACCTAATAACTTGAACTCAACGGTTACTCGTGCTTCCGATGCGATAGACTAAAGAATGCCCGCGGTGATGTCTTGCTCTACATCCGCTCTTCCGTGTGTGGGAGACTTGTGAGCACCTACCGAAGTGACAATGGTTTGTGTGAGCTACTGTGGTGCTCCATCCGCCTCAGGCGCGGAGAACTGCTTGTGGGCGCAGTTTATCGCAACCCCCTGAGTCATTGTTTGGATTGGCTGCCCATTCTTCGAACCCACATGAGTCATCCACACTTCTGGGCGATTTTAACTGTCCTCGAATACGATGACCTGATGTGCATTTGATGCCTGGACATAGTGAGGTTGAAGCAAAGTTCGTGGATTTGGTACTTAAAACTGGTGCATCGCAACACATTTGCCAGCCAACACGCATAACAACACGTTCAACCCCGTCCTGTCTCGACCTGATATTAACGAGCTACGAACAACGAGGGCGTGACGTTAGGATCCTGGAGCTCCTGGCTACAAGCGACCATTCAGTGCTCATAGCTGATATGGAATTGTGTTTGCCGTATTCACGTCCGCTGAAACCAGCTCCCAACTACTGGAAAACGAACTTCGATGGTCTGGCTCGAGCCGCGAGCCAGCTGGATTGGTCTTTGTCACAAGCTGCATCTGTGAAAGAATGTTGGATATTTATAAAAGAGAGATTGACATCATTGTGTTCCCAATTTGTGCCATTGAAATGTCGAACGGTTGGACCGATTAAGCCTCATTGGTTTGACAAGGAGTATGGAAACCTGGCTCGGAGGCGGCGCGGACTGTGGGACAAATTCTTCCTCTCTGGCTCTGCCAATGATTACGAAGGGCATAAATGTCAGCGGAACATCTGCAACAGTGCAAAAAGGAGTCAACGCCGACATTAGGAAGAGCAGCTCGCAGTAGCCTCGAAGACGGCCTCAAAGAGAATCTGCATACGTGAAACGACGCCTGAAGCCGGCAGCTGATGTGCCAGTGCTGGATGGTCTGGATGGACAGCCCCTAATCTCCAGCACTGAGCGTGCGTCCGCGTTGGTGGCGCACTTCGCTTCTGTATTTGCGAATAATCAGGTTTCTGTTCCGAGTTCGACGTGTATCGCTTTTACCGAACTCGATAATCTGCATTGCGGCGTTGAAGAGGTAGGTCAACTATTCGCCAGCCTTGACGGCACCAAACCTGCCGGACCTGATGGGCTTCACCCACTGGTTCCCAAGTCACTTTCGACCATCCTCTCTCCTGTCGTGACTGACCTTTTCAACAGGTCGCTGTCCGAAGGTTCGTTGCCGGCTGACTGGAAATGTTCGGTGGTGATGCTTATTCTGAAAGGCGGCGACCCTAGCAAAGTAGACAACTATAGGCCAATTTTTCTGACACCTGTTTTGGCAAAGGTTGCTGAGAAAACCGTGAAGAAGGGATTGCTGCAGTTGCAACAGTCAAACGAAGTCCCGATGCCCGCATAGCACGGTTTTATGCAAGGTCGCTCATGCATTACGGACCTGTTTGTGACGAGGCATGAGTGATTGAAGGTAATAAGCAAGGGGAATTCCGTCGACATGATATTCATCGATTTCAGTAAAGAGTTCGACAAGGTCAGCCATGAGGTTCTCCTTCACAAACTCAGAATGTGTGGTGTCGGTGGCTCACTGCACCGGTGGATCCACGACTTTCTTGTTGGACGAAAGCGGAGGGTACAGGTCGACAACCATCTAACTGACTGGTACCCCTCTACAAGTGGCGTGCCTCAATGCACTGTGGTGGAGCCCACTCTGTTCCTGACTCACATCAACGATCTACCGCAGCTTCTCCGGTCGCCGTGTGCCTTGTTTGCGGACGACATGAAGATTTGGAGAGAAATTGACGCTCCCGATGACTGTGGCCTACTTCAGCAAGACCTCAACCACCTATCCACATGGTCTACAGAACTTCTCCCGATCAACCCAGCCAAGTCTGTATTTCTGAGCCTGTGGAAGGGTACTGACGGCCAAACCTACACTCTTCACGGTCAACCGCTATATCCTACACCCTCCGTGAAGGACCTAGGTGTACTCTCACGCCACGATTTTAAGTCCGTGGACAACACGAACAGGCTATATCATAACGGACTGCTCATGCTTTGGGCGCTCAAACGTAGCTTCGGCACATGGTATGAAGAGATTGTCACTCGCCTTCTCTCTTCCATCATTAGACCAATGCTAGAGTACGGTTCGACCGCCTACTTTCCGATTACCCGAGGCGAGGCACAAAAGATCGAACGGGTCCAACACGTTGCTACCAGGCTGATCCCGAGTTTACGCGGATTTGGGTATGAAGACCGGTGCGAGAAACTAGGACTTTACACCTTGTCCTACCGTCGGATGCGAGTCGACCTCATTATGACCTACCGTATTCTACATCTCGATGACTTCCCAATGCTAAGGCCAATGGTGCACTTACAAGGGCCATGCAGCATACGCGGACACAGATACAAACTTGTCGCGCCGGATGTGAAATGTGTTTCCCACCGACTGTGCTCCGAACGGAGAGTGATAAACATTTGGAACAGTTTACCTGAACATGTGATGGAGGCAACATCTGTGCGACAGTTCAAAACGTTGTTAGATTTACATTTTACCACTATTCGATTCAGAGAACGATTGCACACTTACGATGACATATCACATTTGTGAGGCCTGAAATGTCGTGAGTCATAGTTTAACTGTTACGTGAGAACGACCACGATATTCACGGTAGACAACTTTTATAACGTCTTTCATCATATTTCGAAAGACTTGTACAGAATTCATTTCTACTTACTCTATAATACAGTAATCCATGTTCAGATGCATGCCAACTGAGCTACCAGTACCGGATGGGCATCGTTCTGGAAAGTTACCAGCCGGCTACGATGCAGCAAAAATAATTCTTATGCTATGCTATGTTAGGCTAAGGAGTGAGATTGTGGTTGGAGGGGTAAGTAAAGCTTTCTTGTTTTCAATTTCATTTTACTTGCCTCTATAACCGTCCTGCATCACTTTTCTCAATGCTTTGCCCCGTCACCCTAGTGGGACATAGGCTATTTGTCCAACGGTATCCTTTTGTTTCTTTCTTTTATGCAGAATTTTCTGTACACCCCTATTCAAGCCTTCGTTTTAATTCTTGTGTTTCTTTCTAGTCAAAAAGAGAAGCTAAAGCACAAATGTTGGAAGAGTCGTTGTCATCCTTCGATCGACATTACTTGAATTTGGACATGGTATACGATTGCTTTGTATTCTTCGATGGATCCAACTGGCAGTAAGTCCTTGACCAAGTCTCACTTATCGAGTCCATTATGTGAATTGAAGACATTTGCTTCGCTCTGTTGGGCCTGATCACAATGTGGCACGCGGGGTATGATGCTCCGCTTGCTTTACGGGAACACCGGTAAACCTTCCTGTTGGCCGTAACTATACAACTGACCAATAGTCTCTGCTTGAATTGTCACTTGCTTTCCCATCTGTTCATTATTTCGTCTGCTTATTAAGGAGAATGCAGGCCACGTTTGTACTATTTCGATTTCTACACCAAGGTGCGTCGGGGCTTGGCCGAATTAAGCTGTTCAAGCTCCCGGCATGAACTCGCACTCAAACACTTTGCTATTCACCGTTTGACATACGGCTTGTCACTTGTGCTGGTGGATGTAAAATTCGATGTTACAAACTGTTGTACAACTCTCTTAACTACGTTATTAGCTCACCAGAATGTCTCACCACGTTTTATCCTCCTGTTGTATCTTGGGTTCTTGACAAATATAAATAGCTTGCAATATAAACACTCACTGACGATTAAACTCGGTGCCGTCGGTCGGCCTCGCCTTCTTGGCTGGAGTCCACGTAACCCGCCTTGTTCTTGGCTTGAAACGTTACCGGACATAGCTCACAGTCGACACTGGTGGCGTGTCTGCTGTCGTCTCCTAGTCAGATCGCCTGTTTAAAGTGTGTTGGGTGTGAGTTAGCTGCTGAGTAATGGATGATTATGACGCGGGCAGTGAAAACCATAAGGAACCTGTCTCGCCGATGCAGCTTTATCTATGCACAATAGCCAGCTGTTTCTTTAGGGTATTTGCTCTTTACGCTAAGTCCCACTTCTCTCACTCTTATTGTTCTTCGTTCCATAGGTCACCGTGATTGTGCGATAGCGAAGCATCAGTTCGAATGGCTGATGTACTGCTGCTGCTGTTGTTGACGGTAATGATCAGCACTCAAAGGTTGCTTCGAATTGCTGGTCGGCTTCTGCAACAGCGCGGCCTGTTCTCCCCATACTAGTGCACGGCCTTTCACAGTGCCTTCATCGTCGCGCATTGAATGAAGTCCGTAATGGGGTTCACCGGCCTACCGCAGCGATCACATCGGGACACCTGCATATGTTTCGACTACTATTCGATGCGTGCATTTCGAGCGTACATGTCACCGGCGTCCGTCATCACCATCATCATTAATACTCATTAGCTATGGGTGAGCAAAAGCTCAGCTAATGTGTCGCAATACCAAAAGCCGTATTAAAAATACAACCTACAATAAGCTCAAAACGCAAGTAATATTATATAAACTATCATGTTATACCTGTGATTATAGATCGTAATTAGAGGTGGAATCTAAAGGCGAGGGGAATGGACAAAGAAACTCGCAACGCAAACACCATGGGGGCTAGCTCTTTACCATATCAGCAAGTCTATCCAACCAAACATGTTCACCGTCCATGGGACCCCAGTCCTGCAGTCGCGATGCACCACTGGACGCCAACTTCGAAGTGAAGGATTTCATTCTTCTCGACTAAGTCATCATTTGGCCTCCCCTTCTCCTCTTCCATCCACACCGCGGGCGCGCAAACTACGCATGTCGCGGGAGTCCGTGGGCTGGTATGCGCTACACCTGATCCCGCCTCGGAGCCTGGTGCGTAATCTAATGGTGCTGAGCAGTTCACGCGTTTCCAGCACGAACTACAGGACGCCGAATACATTCATTGCTCATACGGTGCTCCAACAAACATGAGCTAAGCTGCGAAGGCAGCGATCGTCGAACGTATCTAGCCTCTTTATGCCTATCGACCTGATGGGCCAGGTTTCGCGTCCATACGGCAGGGTTGAACGGACGGCTGCATTGTAAACTCTGCCCTTCAGGACGAGAGTGATGTCCTATTGACGCCCCAGATGGGCAAAAATGCCTCGAATTTTTGTTATACGGTTCGTGACCTTATCTTCGAGCGCTAATATAGCTGCCCAACTACTTGAATTCATGAACGACCCCTGGCTGATAACCACCAGGAATCAGCGCATGGATGGATCCCTGCTAATCTTTGAGAAGGGCAGGATTTTTAGGCTGCAACTGGTAGCCAATCCCAACTTGTTCAATTCTGTTTGACACGTTCGTCTGCTGTCACAGATTAGGGCAGTGTCGTTTACTTACTCCAAATCAAGAAGTCGCTCATCAGGAAACAGCTCCACACCTTGTAGGCTGTGTCTAGCGAACGTTGTTTTCACGACTTCATCTATCGCGTAGTTACAAAGGAAAGGTGACAGCGGGCAACTTTGTCTCATATCGCTGGAGATATTGAAGAACGGCAACATTTGCCCTCAACTCTCAGTCTCAGTCTCTCTATGCATGTACAGTGCTCTGATAATGCTTACATATTTATCGGACACACCTTTCTTGAGCAGAGAATCCCAAAGGACATAACCATCCACCGAATCGACAGCACATTTGATGCTGTGAAACACGACTACAATGGGTTGCCAATACATATGGCTGTTCCAACAACTGAAGTAGAGTAAGGATGTGGCCAATGCAGCCTCGACTTCGACCAAACTCGGCTTGCTCCTCACGTATATACTTTCACATGTGTCAGCCAGTCTATGGAGGACAACAGAGGCAAGTAACTTAGGACCAATTGATATTAGGCTGATTCCACAATTTTTGCCACGTTCCTAACATGAAACTCCCTTGAAAAATGGGACTATGGAGAGACTCCTGTTTGTTGGAACAGTCTCCTGCTCTCACATGTTCTCCGGTGAGTTATGTAAATTATCCACAAATGCAGCTCTCCGAATTTGAACTGTTTAAGGAAGTCTATCTGCTTCTGCAGCCTTATTCAATTTCAAGTCTGATTTCACGTTCGACCTGTGCGTTTGAGGGCGGATCCAAGGGGCGGCCCAGGGCGAAGGGCGATTAATGGCCGATAGAGAACGGTAATTCAATTGAGTAAAACGCTTTTGAAAGTGTTTGCTTCAACGCTCTAAGCGTTTTGACAGGCTGTGGATTGGTTTCCACTCGTCGCATATGATCTCGCTGACACTATGTCTCCCGCCCGTTTTGCGTGCAATAAATCTCTTCAAAGAATTCTTTGATCCTCTGGCCATCCAACAAATAATCAGCGGTCCCCTACCTGGTGCATCGAGCAGGGTGGATAGGGGTGAGTATGCTACTGCTCAAGCCTTCTCATCTTTACGTTTTCCCTCTTGGGACTTTCCATCTTTATGGTCTCGTCCAAACTTCACATTCTCCCGTTTCTCGACTCCCAATTCTTGCGACCCCCCATCCGGCTTTAGTAGCGGCTTTTCTTTTAGGTTCCGATCACACTCAATCCAAGCGGAAAACTTCAGCTCACCTGTTTCTCTTTGGAACCCTCGATCCTACCTAAGATTGGCATGTCTCAATGTACGCAATTTGTTTCAGATTGGCCAATAGGCAGCACTTGCCAGAACATTGGAGGCCTTATTGATCTTTATCCGCTTTTTTATCGGATACCCTCCCGCAACTTTCTAGTTCTTTGATTACCCTACGATCGCGCACAGGCGACACTGGCGGTATTTTCTCATTATTCTTGTCCGGAGATAACGCAACTTCAACTACCGGTCAAGTCGGTGTGAACGTTATTCTCTGTGCTCATTGGCACAACACCCAAAGAAGAGTAGCATGGCGCCCACCCACATCAAACTAGTCATCGCAATCAGTTGCCGTTAGTGTCTGTGTCCAAAACTGCCCCCTCCCCCCCCCCCCAGGTTTGTAGCACGAGCGTGGTCTCTGATTATGCACTTGTGTGCGCTGGCCTGCGGGTACGTTTCGGCTAACGTCCGCAACGGCGCTGTGAGCTTCTAGATACTTGCCAACTGGTCGCATATCCACTAGACCTTAATAATAGCGCGCACGTTTTCATGTGGCAAATCGAATTACTATACATGGCATTGGATTTCTACACAGTCTCTGGAACTCCTGATCACTAACCGACTTAGTCCGGCTGAATACAAACGCAATGATAATCGCAAAGTCCTCAGGGCGAAGTTGCGTGCTAGCCTAAGGGCAGACCGCGAAGCCACTTGGTCTAATCGTGCATCGGAAACAGACGCTGCCCTTGGTACGGGAAATGTAACCTTGTCCAGCGATTGAAACACGGATGTAAGTCAGGCAAATGAACGGTTAACATAAATCACCGGATAATCACACAAAGTGCTATTTGGCCGGGTGGACACCGTTGATGGGACGACGCAGATGCACCACGACGAAGCTCCTACAAGCGAAAGCAAAACACACAAATGTAACACGAAATGTTTATTCACCAGCGGGACAAAGCGGCAAAAAGTGACTATCGAAGTTCATACAAACGACAGTTCATTGTTTGAATGGGTCGAACGATGAACAGCTAATTTTAACTCTTCAGCGATTGTCGGGTTCATCCTGATCTGCAAAGGTAAAAGAAAGGGACAATGATATTAGCGGTTCATTTAAAAGGATCGATCTTTCTGTTCCGTTACACTACCCCACATTCCGCGTAGGTGCTGTCATCGGTGCCTCCTTGCTTTTTGCAGTTATCTCTACATTTTGCTCAATCATCGGAAGGCATCCAGACGAAACAATGTTTTCTGTCTCCGTTTGACCAGCAGACGCTGGTTGTAATAGACAATTAAAACACCAGCGTTCGGGTTAGGCACCCTCCGAATGGTGTACACTTTGGGGGCTCGAACAAACACTATTTCGTACGGCCCTTACCAATGACGGTGAAATTTGCCTGATGTGCCCTCGAAAGCTTTCGGTCGATGTAGCCACAAATGACCACTAACACGGTATTCAGGTCGCCGCCAGTATAACAGGTAGGGAATCGGCGGGTGAGCACAGACCTCGAATTTTGCAGCTGGGTTTTCGATAGGTAGCAAATATCGATTAGTAGGGTCTCTTGTTGTCAGCCAAGTGATACCTGTTGGCCAATCTGTAACTAAGTGCGCACTTTTAAGCATGCCAGTCTAAGCAAAGATCGAGGACTCCAAAGAGAAACTGACGAACTGACGTTCGCTTGGTTGAACATGGACTTTTCAGCTGGACCGGCGTGACGCCCTGCGATTGCTTGAAGACAAGCAACTATTGAATGCAGATGGGAGTGGGCCAAGATTTGGTGCGTTGAAAACAGGAGCACGGAATTGATGGAACTGGACTATAAAGATAGAACGCCGCAAGGGAGTTGAATAATAAGTCGCGAAGTCTTAGGCAGGGGTATTCTCCTGTTTACCCACCTTGTTCGATGCTGTAGCTAAGGCGCCATTGATTGTCTTCTGCGACTGCCATATCAACAGGAGATTGTTTGCTTTCCAGTTTGTATGTCTCATGAACTCCACTTAAGCCAGGTGGCCTGAGCCCAAGTTACTGCCCATTGCAGGTGACTTCCACCAGCTCGTGATCGTTGCTGTCTTTCTTTTCTCTGTGGAGGTCTTAATATTACATAATCTCAAACATGTACAGCCTCAATGCGTTTCGGTCAGTCATTAAGGTGGGACTGTATTTCATGTGACAATCAACAGGTTTGATTTTCTCCCTTCATTTAACCATCGGAAGCATTTTTACAGCATTCTGCTGACGTTTCTTTATCATCATTCTGTTGAGCTTATTGTGGTCACCTGCTGCCTTGCAGTGACAAAAACCGCCTTAGAATGCACTTATGGGGCCAACAAGTGGTGCAACATACGTTGCTATTTCATTTACCACAGTAATGTTAGGTATCCACGTGATTCACTACAGAGGCAATCGAAATTGCGGGAAATAAGCATAAAATACTTACACCGCTAGTACTTAGATTGGCGATATTATGCAGCCCGAATGTTATCACCATTTTGTTAATATTAACAAAGGAATACGTAGTTCAGAGCCGAAATCACTGTTTTAATATGCGTGTTCTATTTTTGTTAACTTAGACAAATGAGGTCATAGGATAGAAAGCGCATATATATATATATATATATATATATATATATATATATATATAGCTTAAATGCATCAAATCAGGCGGATGACTGTGTCATGGAAAAACAACTGCTGCAAAATATTCTCTGCTTCACCAGTTCTGTTACGTTCGCTAATTTTACTTGTTTTACTCTGTAACCTGATAGATCACACGGATCGGACACTGCGTTAATCCGTTAGTCCACATGAGAGCTCATTATATTTCTGACCTTGAATACGAATCGCTGAGTTAATCACGCCAACATCTCATCAGTTTAGTATTTATACGTATGATTATTTTTCCACCTTTGACCTTCTCGATGGGCATCTGTTTTTTCGGCCTGTTTATAGCCGCATTACTTTGGTTCACGTTTTCGCTATTGACTGTTGTTGGCGGGATGATGTGTTACTGTCATCTGTAGGACAGGTTCCTAATACTCAACTTCCCTTTGTTGGCTGTAAACGCGTATCGTTTTTAGCATTGTCCTACTTTTCCATAGTTCACATGCACTGGCTCTATCATATCTGTATAGTATGTGTTAACTTAATCACATATCGCAAGTTTTTCGACTAGTGCAATTTGTCCATCGCTAGCCGACAGGATTGCGCACTCGTGTTGTAATCCCTGGGGTCGCCGGTTCGCATCAGCATATGTGCGGGCGATATCGCGGTATACCCAGCTCTCGCGTGACTGTTGGCGATCGTGTGGAAACAATGCCGGTGCAGGGTGCTGACATACCACTGCTGCCTTTTATTCTCTCTAACTACTTCCATTGCATTTCTGTTTCGCTTTTCAGAGCTTGCGTGGATACCAGCCCTTACGAGCCCGGAAAGACGCTGAACGATATGCCCTTACTGATGGACTATTCAATCGCTCACCAATCCGCCTGTTTCGGCGACGACAGTATGAACTTTCATTTGCTTGTTTTTTTGCTCAACCGGTTCCACCAGTGTTCACCACCACTGTACCCAAATTCTAATAGCACAACGTCTGTCTGTTCACTCACATGCTCTTCAACAGACGCGCTCTGTTCACCACACAACCTTTCCGGTGTCGTTTATCCGTCTGTTGTAGATCATGTTCCATCTAGAAAGACCACCACTTAGTTATTAGTCTTTGTGAGAAGCTCTGTGACTTAGAGGTAAAGAACTCGAGCGGCAATTCATTCTTCTCGGGTTTCACTCACATTGTTACCATAACACTGCGTGCCATTCATGGAGCTCAGTGTTGCAGACAGGCGACACTTATGTATTCCACTCTTTCGCTTTCATATCTAAGTTTCCTCGGAGTTTGCTTACATTGTCGATTTTTCAGTCCGATCTTCCTGCATACCATTCCTACTGCGTCGCCCAACATTATCTTCTTGCTCTGGCCAACTACCTTCGTGTTTTATGCTCCAGGATTGGCATTTTTTACAGCCTATTTGATTATCTGTACATGAACAGTAGTGAATTCACTCATTTTGGGCTGGGATACAGGTCCTTGACCAGCGCGCTTATGCCTATTCCTGTTTTTGACTTCTAACCTCACGCTAATCTCTGAGGGTAAATTCTGTTTCACTGTCTGCCTGTAGGTTTATTCTCGGCTGCAATACTTGCGAATCATCATCAACAACAGCAGTACATCAGCCATTTGAACTGATGCTTCGCTGCCATACAACCATGATGACCTAAGGAATAAAGAATAATAAGAGGAAGGGGGACTTACCTAAAAACCTTAATGCCTACACCTTGTGTTAACAGCATACCGTCACAAACGGTTTGCTAATTTGCAAAGATAAGGCGGCATCAACGAGACAGCTTCCTTGCGGCTTTCACTGCCCGCGTCATAATCAGCCAATACCCAGCAGATAAGTCAGCACCCCAAACGCACTGTAAACAGGTAGTCCGACTAGGAGACAGCAGCAGACGCGCCACTGGTGTCCGTTGCGAGCCATGTCTTGTAAAGTCTCGAGCCATGCACAAGGCGAATCACGTGAACTCCAACTCAAAAGGCGAGACGGACCGACGGTGTCCAGTTTGGTCGTCAGTGACTTCATTTCACGCTGCCAAGCCAACTTCTGTACATCTGGCAGACTAAACAAGGCCCTACTAAATAAGCGGTGACCAGGCATACATAGCAGGTGCCCGAGCCAATGCAACTTATTCAGTGCTACCTGTTGTTCTAGGGAGATAGCATGATTATCACCACCTAGTACTCGCCCACGCACATCATCGTTGCGGACACGCTGGTGCCATCCAACACCAGCAATACTTCACAGACAACAATTATCAAAGACTTGAAGGCATCTCAGATCTTCAGACCGAAGGGGCAAAGTCTCACTTACGTAGAGCAGAACGACCCTCACTATGGCCTTGTATACACGGCCTTTCAGACGGAAGGAAATTCCCTTCTGCCGCCAAAGATGCCGCAGGTTCAAAAAGGCAGATCTGGCGTTTACGATACATGAGCAGACGTCAGTTTCTTTGCGCCCATTGTTGCTGATGCAGCTGCCAAGATAAGTGAATTGGTCAACCACCTCGAGTTCCTCGTTAGCAAGGGGCAAGCGGTCGTACAGGGGTTAGTGGTCCTGCAGCAACCATTTGCACTTTAAAGGTGCGAAGTGCATACCGAATAATGGGACCACTCTGCGCAGGCTATTCAGGGTTGATTGCGCCGCCGCCACATCATCAAAATGCAAAACGATATCGTCCGCGTAATCAAGTTCAACTAATCTTTCACCAGGCAGTACCTTAACGCCAACATCGTGAGATTCCGCAAGGGAAGACTCTATGATAGAATCCACGACGAAAGTGAACAAAAATGGGGAAATCGTGCAACCCTGATGAACGCCACTTATGGTCGGAAATCTGTCCTCCAAGGCCTGTAGTGTCCGAGTATAGAGCACAAAGGATTTTCGCATATTTCTTGGGAACACCTTTCCGCGCAAGTATTTCGAACGGAATGCGTTGATCGATCGAATCGAACGTACTCTTAAAATCGAGGAACACAGCTATTATCTGTCTGCGGTATACGTGGTGTTGCTCTAGCACCTGCGGCAAAGTGAATATATGATCTATACAGCCACGTCCTGGACGGAAACCTGCCTGTTCTTCCATAATCCGAGATTCCCGTTCCACAGTGAGGCGACGAACGAGAATCGAGACCAGTAATTTTGTCACAACTGACGTTAGGATAATACTCCTGTGGTTAGCACAGTCTGTGTGACTGCCCTTCTTGTATATTCCCACTATAATCGATACACTCCAGTTAGCTGGGACGCTTTTAAATAAGTTCGATAGGGAGGTCAATGCTTTACAATGGACGTCACCTCCATCCTTAAGTAGTACAGGTGCGAAGGAATCCGGGTCGGCGGCACGAATAAGTTTAAGAGCTGCAATCGTGTTTCCGACCTTACCCTCTGGTGGATATTCTAAACTAACTGGCAACTGCTCAGCCTGCATCGCCTGAGCAGAAAGTGGTTCAGAAGCAGGGGCCAGCTGAACTGCTCTCGAAACTGTTCTGCCCAACGAGCCATACGGCGCTCCCTATTATGCATCAGTGCAACCGCTCTGTCTCTGATTGTCTCACTGACGCCTGGTTTTACGGGACCGGTGGTGCGGATCAGCTGGAAGGGCTTGCGATAATTGTCTACTGCTCCTGACTCCTCCATTTCTTGAGCCCGACTGGTCCACCACGCTTCCTTGTCAGCACGTAGGCTGCGCTTTAGTTCACGTCTAATAGCCCGTCTGGTCAGATTGTGCTCAGAACCAGCCTGGAGGTTTTTTCTAGCTTCCAACAAGTTCGCCGACCTCTCGGATATCCAGTGACTGGTGCGTTGACGATTGATAATACCACAAGCAAAGGTTCCTTCGAAGTGTATGGCGGCCGAGATCCTATTCCACTGAAGCTCAGTGTCATTAGGACAAGACAGCGAGAGTTCGGTACGCAGTGTGTCTTGATAGACTTACCTGACCGGTGGCTGAGACAAATTCTCAGTTGCCAATCGGAAGAGACGCTTTGTGCGCCTCCCGGTAAAGTTCATGCAGAAACGACAGGGTACCAAAGCACGATCAGAGTCGACGCAGGTACTCCAGTAGGAGCAGCAATCGAGGATGAAACCTCACCATCTGCAACCTATGGCTATGTGGTCAATTTGGGTCCATTGCTGGCAAGTTACAGGAGGGGGCCGAGTGGCACTTCGGCGCCCGCCGTGTCTAAAAGCATTGCTACTTTGAAACAACTGGTGCTCCGCACACAGTTGCAGCGGTTGCTCGGGATTGTCAGTCCGTTCGGAGTTAAGCCCATAATTAGCACCCAGTTGAGCTTCTGAATAGCTCAAGCGCCCTACTTGTGCGTTCATATTTCTTGCAAGTACTGTTATATTTGAAATAGAAATACTGCATAGTAGCGCGTTCAGTTCGTGATAGCATGGCCTTGACAGCATTAGCACTGCAGTCTGTGGGAGCATAAGCAGAAATCATAAACAAACAGCGTTTTTTACTACTTCGTGAATCAACGTTAGCTGATGTCGTCAAACGGGCTGCGCATAATCGGCTGCTCACCGAAATCCACTCAATCAACGATGGCTTAGCCTTGGAGCTTGGAATGATAGCTACACCAGCTTGACTCTTGAGTGCTGCATCGACGTCTCCGGATGCGTGCAACCAATAACGAGAGGATAAGCCGGGTGCAGTTATTTCAATAACCCCGTTAGGGTCAATGATCCTAGTTTCGGACACACAACACACATCAATACCCAGTGTCCGAGCTGCGTGCGAGTGCAGCCTGTTGAACTATTTTCATAGGGTGCGAACGTTGAACTTCGCGATGGAAATGGGACAGCATGACCTTATATGGGACTTTCGCCGATAGGCTTCCGATAGATGTTGTGGGATGGTTGCTGCCGATGATTCTACTCCAGTGGCATTTCGGCTGCTGTCAATTAAGCTGGGCATTATGGAAGGAATTTTAGTAATGAGGGTCTGGATGGGAGTAAGAGGAAAAGGTGGAAAAGAAAGAAGGGAGGCGCCAGCAGTAGCATGTTTTCGCTTATCCACCCTGCTGTCTGCAGCAGATAAGGCGACCCTTGATTGTCTGCGCGACGGCCGATGCAGGATGAAGTTTATGTTTGAAGAAGATGTCATGGTTGTATGTGGGCTGAGATACTGCCAGGGCGCGCAGATCTAGACAGGAGGATGATTAGGGTCCTCATCCAAAACCTTTGGCTCAAAGCCTGTCCGCAAGGCAGCGGGGAAGTGGCATTGATTTAGTTTTACAGAAATGGACGACATCCTATTTCAAACCCCCAACCTGGAGGACGAGTAGACTGTTTGTCTGACCTCTCACCATTGACCACCCTGGTAGGAGTAACTCTCAGTGGATCCAGAAGCACTACTCAGTATAGCTCAATGGGTCAACGAGGTACGCAAACCCTCACCACGTTAAGGTTGAGAGCGTGCTTCATTATTCTGTCCATCATTTTTCAGACAACAGACGGCCGATAATTCGCAGGGTTCTGCTGGTCACCTTTGTATTTTAGCACTACAATTCCTATTTTCTAAGCGCGAGATAAGCGGCCCTCCACAAGTGAGAGCCGGAATACTTGCCACGTTGGATCAGGGATGTACTCTGCAGACCTGTTGAGGAAGTGGGCGTAGTCCGTGGATGTCTGTCTAACTATTCGCTCCTCGTGATCAGAGCTCATCATCGGCTCTTTTTATTTTAATCCGATCTTCTGAAGAAACATCTTTAAGGACGTAATGCATCTCACCTTTCAAACGTGTTCGTCTGAGAATGCGTCAGCATTCTTCCGCGCCAAGGCACATAATCATGAACGGCCGAACTTTGGAAGTATCTTCTTGCGGCCTTTAAATTGGGCCTTGAAAAAAACATGAAAATTAGAGCAATTTCATATGTATTCT